CTGTAGTCCGGCTGCAACCCGGCTGTAGTCCCAGTGTAGTCCGGCTGTAGTCTGGCTGTAGCCCCGCTGTAGTCCTGCCACAGCCCGGCTGTAGTCCTGCTGTAGTCCCAGTGTAGTCCGGCTGTAGTCCCGACGTAGTCAGGGTGTAGTCCTAGGGCAGCCCCGCTGCAGCCCAGCTATAGTCTGGCTGTAGTCCCACTGTAGTCCGGGTGTAGCCCAGCTATAGTCCCGCTGTAGTCCAGGTGTACTCCCGGTGTAGCAAGGCTGTAGCTCAGCTGCAGTCCCGGTGTAATCTTGCTGCAGTCCCACTGTAGCCCGGCTGTAGCTTGACTGTAGTCCAGCTGTAGTCCTGCTGCAGCCCGGCTGTAGTCCCAGTGTAGCCCGACTGTAGCCCCACTGTAGCCTGGCTGTAGTTGCAGTGTAGCCCAGCTGCAGCCCAGCTGTAGTCCTGCTGTAGTTCGGCTGTAGGCCTGGTGTAGCCCCACTGTAACCCGGCTGTAGTCCTGGTGTAGCCCGGCTGTAGTCATGCTGTAGCCCGGCTCCCAGTGTAGCCCAGCTGTAGTCACGCTGTAGCTGCCTGTATCATGGTTCCCGGTGTAGCCCGGCTGTATCGCGGCTCCTGGTGCAGCCCGGCTGTAGTCTGGCTGTGGCCCCAGTGTAGCCCGGCTGTAGTGTGGCTGTAGCCCAGCTGTAGTCGCACTGTAGCCTGGCTGTATCGCGGCTCCCGATACAGCCCGGCTGTAGTCGCGCTGTAGCCCAGCTGTATCGTGGCTCCCGGTGCAGCCTGGCTGTAGTCGCGCTGTAGCCCGGCTGTATCGTGGCTCCCGGTGCAGCCCGGCTGTAGTCGCGCTGTAGCCCAGCTGTATCGCGGCTCCCGGTGCAGCCCGGCTGTAGTCACACTGTAGCCCGGCTGTATCGTGGCTCCTGGTGCAGCCCGGCTGTAGTCGCGATGTAGCCCAGCTGTAGTCACGCTGTAGCCCGGCTGCAGTCGCGCTGTAGCCTGGCTCTAATCGCGCTGTAGCCCGGCTGTATCGCGGCTCCCGGTGCAGCCCGGCTGTAGTCGCACTGTAGCCCGGCTGTATCGTGGCTCCCGGTGCAGCCCGGCTGTAGTCGCGATGTAGCCCAGCTCTAGTCGCGCTGTAGCCCAGCTGTAGTCGCGCTGTAGCCCGGCTGTATCGCGGCTCCTGATACAGCCCGGCTGTAGTCGCGCTGTAGCCCGGCTGTATCGCGGCTCCCGGTGCAGCCCGGCTGTAGTCGCACTGTAGCCCAGCTGTATCGCGGCTCCCGGTGCAGCCCGGCTGTAGTCGCGCTGTAGCCTGGCTCTAATCGCGCTGTAGCCCGGCTGTATCGCGGCTCCCGGTGCAGCCCGGCTCTAGTCGCACTGTAGTCGCGCTGTAGCCCGGCTCTAGTCGCGCTGTAGCCCAGCTGTAGTCGCGCTGTAGCCCGGCTGTATCGCGGCTCCCGGCGCAGCCCGGCTGTAGTCGCGCTGTAGCCCGGCTCTAGTCGCGCTGTAGCCCAGCTGTAGTCGCGCTGTAGCCC